AAAAAAAAAAAATTTAAGAAAGGGGGTCACAAGTAGTAGTTTCCCAGTTCAATGCAAGAAAACCTAGGTCAAATTACATATATCTCACTCGGTCTCCATGTTGAAACACAAATGGATCAAAACCCACATGTCCTCCACTATACCCTATATTTCAGTCAAATTCGTCTGAATTAGAAATATAGACACATTTGCTCACATACATAAGTGTCTGTAATTGTCTTCTGTGCGAAATACATTAAAAGAGCCCAAGTTTTGGCAGTTTTCTTATAAATTTCCATTAGGAATAGAATGTCAAAGATGGTTTTTAGTATTAAAAATATATATTTTGAAGTCTGATCTGCAAGCAACATACAAACACCCATGATTTCTCCCCTATAGCCAAATGTGCTTGAAAATGTAAGATCAGTAAGTTTTTAATGGTGCCAAGAAAATCATCAAGTCTCTATTGGACTCCAGCATATTACAATGGGGGATGGTCAGTGCGCTATGAGCAAATTAGCTGGTTTTAAATATTGAATTACCTAATCGTGAAAAGAAGTCATTCAAGACACCAATCAGGTCTCCAAGAGTCAAACCTCGATCACAAACAAGACCTTGGAATAAGATTTAGGAACAAAGTTAGCTTCAACTACTCACAACCTGGAAGTCAAATACTCGTTAATATGGATTTTGTTCATAATAGATAATAAAGCAAGGAAGGTATACTATATCCCAATGGACAACGGCATACTTATTATAGTCAGGCCATCAATATATGGTGGGAGTGATGGATAGAAAGGAAGACCCACCAGAACAGGTCATGACCGGGTCCTACTCTTCATCACTGACCATCATTTCATTGTAAGGTGATCACCTCAATGGACTAACGTCCTCCGTAGTCCATAAGAATACAGATTACTTTCCCATAAAGCAGTACGCAAAAGAAAGCTCAAAAGTTACAAGAGAGTCAAGAAGAAAATAAGAGACCCTCTATCTGGTGAAACTCTGCAAGATGAGTTCGATCCACCGCCTCATTTCTAAAAACTCGATCTATTGAAAAGTACCGCTTTGGTGTGAAAGGTTTCTGAAATGCAATGACCCGCTTATTAGGACAAAACTGAGAGAGGAAAAAAAGAAAAGTGGACCACATGGAGAAAGCCTACTCCTCGAAAGAGACAAGAGACAAATTATAAAAGTAATCAGGAACCACTAAATAAAGCATATAGACTGAAAATCTTCTACACCTGAGCAAGCAAGTAAAGCATCCTTGAGGAAACAGCTGTTGTGTGGGTTCGGAGTAAGTTCTTCTCTGCCTCCTCCCTCTTCCAAACATATCCATAACTGCAAATGTCATTTACTTAAGAATGCCCATTGTGATAAATCAAGTAGACCGTTCTTATAAAACCCACCCTTTAGAACCATAACCACCAGATTCATGAACTTTCTGTACCCTCTCCAAATAATCTTCAGGTAGCTTCTTTGTAGTCGAAGGTACTGCAAGGTGCCAAATCAAAGAAACAGATTAGTAATTTAAAGCTCCAAATACATTCCTCTGATGAATAAATCAAAAAACACAGGATAGTACATGGAAAACCTGCATATATCATGGTCTAGAGACTTTATATATAGAGGTGGTACCTGACCAGATTATTTTTTCTCGAAATGGCTATCTTTTTCCTGATTCAGTGTTTAGATGTAAGAGCACAAAGGTAATCCAGCCATGGTATATTGATCATTTAAAAAAATGATTAGTCCATACTATGCTAATATTCAAGTTTCTGGACCACCTGCATATATGCATGTCTTCCAAATACTGCCCATATGTTTTCCAAAAATTTTAAAACTCTTCTATGTTAATATAATAATGATTACTCTACCCTGTAGAAAGAACGTATCATGGGAGTCACGGGCTGGATGTTGCTGTGGCTGGAAGAGAGCATCAAAGTTCCAAAAGCTGCATCCAAAGCCATATTAAACTGATGAGAACTCATAAACCCTTGGGGTAGTGATGTTAATATATCAATCGAATATGGGAAGTATCACTACTTTCAACTGTGCGATTCAAAGATAAGAAAAAGCAATCCATGTTTCAAAAGTAAACCAATGCACAGGTGCCAAAGTAGCCCCTTAAGTGGATTGTGCTGCATTGAGGATCCTGAAGCCCAAGCGCCTGTCTGCAGATTGATTAACGAAGTTGCATGAAAACTGCCTTTCATATATCTAGAGCATTACAAGATGATTTGATAACTAACTATTCCTGATAACTTTCTTTTTTTTTCAAGGTATAATTATTCCCAAGAACATATTTTTTAGCAAAAAGCAAATAAGATCTTGCTTGTATCT